CACGTAGGTCGTAGTAGTACGTTATGATTACGCCCATAGGCTACAGCTCCTGGAGTCGGGAGCTACATGAACTATGGATCGCGTAGGCCATAATTGGTCATTTAGGTCCTAATGGCGGGCTACAATGAGAGAGATTTAGGAGTTCGGAGAAAATCACTGCTTTCATGGTGTATTATTACACCATCTTTGGGAGGCGTTGTTGCACCATTTGTGGGTTGTATTGTTACACCTTCATCGGGCTGTGTTGTTGCACCGTATTTGGGGTGTATTGTTACACTGTTATCGAGAGGAATTATTGCACCGTATGTTGAGTCTGTTATTCTGCAATGTACACTAGGATTCCGCAACTCACTGTGTGATTTTGTAAGGGATTTCATTGCAATGATTTAGGGGTAGCCAACGGTGGTCGACAATGACCAACAGATAATGGTTGAAAGTGGTTGGCCTTTGCCGGAGAGGCAAATTTTTGTCAGATGTGTGGTGTAGAAGAGATGTTGGAATTCAGTTTCCCCTGAAAACTTTAGTCTTTTTCTGGCTCAATGTCTCTCCCTGCTCTCAAGTGGGGGTAAATCTCTATTTATAGAGTTTGTAACAGACATCTCTGCAAATAAGGAATAAATTTGGACGACCTAAAGAGATTCCATTAATTGGATGATATTTGATGAATATTTGAGTGCCTTAATGTTGTCAGGATTGAACGATTTTGGGCTCATTGTATTCGTCTCGCAGAGTGACACACCAAAACTTACTATGAAGTAAGTCGTACAACATAAGTGCACGTGTTAAGTAGTATGCAGTCTAAGAGTCCGCATATCAATCTCACGAGGAAATGTTTAAGAATTGATTTCAACAGATTCCATAGTTTATTAATTTAGTGAACCTAGCTTGGCGTGATTGCAAAGAATGTTTAACACCTAAAATCTTTATGGAAGCAGAGTAGATAGTAGACAACAAAAACAAAAAGTTGGGAAAAATCTCAAGAGTTTCTTTAAGAATGATGAGACTCGTGCCTCTGTGATTCGAGGATCGTGGTGATTGCTGCTTTCCTAAATGTTTTCCTACATGATTGTTATTAATCAGAGATATATTACTTTGTATGCCTATGTCTTGGTGAAAAGAAGCCTAGAATCCATAAAGTTAGAATCCATAAAGTTAAGACTCCTCAATTCCTATGACATTCCGCATGAATGGTCCAATCCTCTGAAAAGATTGCTGAATCTCATTGGAATATGTCTATCCTGGCGGGATTCTGTGCTTAACCCTTCGTTTTCACTACGCAATGGTCAGAGGTCGTAGTTTCACAAATTATTTTAACATCCTAGTTTGCCAAACTAGGATTAAAGGAAGTTCATAGGTTACCAATAACATAGGTCTTGAAAGCACAAATAAAAACACTAACGGAAAAACATTTCAGAAAACTCACGATAAAATCTAGTACCCCTTCATCACAGAGACACTAAGAAAAAATTAGCCACATATCGTCGAGAAAACCATAACAAAGAAAACTATGCATGGTTTCATTGCAAGAAATAAAAACATGTTAAACTTACATTAACTTGTCTTCTCCACAACAACAACAATCCTTCCTCTCATACAATATCTCTCACAACTCACAAGACAAGAAGGTGGAAAAAGCTCTTTAAAGGTTTCACCTAAGGAAGAAGAAAACCTTAAGTGGAAGCACACAAAATCTCCTTAAAATCTGCCTCCAGCCTTCTTCAACTCTCCTCTGGTCCATTAGTTTCTTCAAAAAGCTATAAAAATTATTCTTATAGCAAAAACCATGGATTTGTTAAGTAAAATTCCCTCCAAATGTGTTTTCCCGCTTGTTGATGTGCTCAATCCGAAAACTGGTGTGGTCATGCCTACGTGCTGAATAGGGTGGCATGATCACGCCGAAGGTCTGCAGATTATGCGTGGTCACACCATAGCTCTCGATCAGGTGGCGTGGTCACCCCACTTCCAGGCGTGGTCACACCCGTTTAAGTCGCTTTTTGTTGGTTTTTCTCGTTCCAAATTGCTCGTATAAAACACCTTTAACCTGCACAACATCAAGAAAAACTTTCTCAACTGTAAATCTTTGGTAAATGAATAAAATTAGCATGTAAAATGCAGGGAAAAACACAAGTAAAATTACATAAAATTGACACACGTCGCTTAGACACTCGATTTGACTATAATAGGCTTGTCATATTTGAAATAAATCTGCCTAACCTTTTAAATATGTACCGAAATATTCCAAAAATATTTAACAACTTGATTTGAGCTTGATTTGACTTAGATTCAATCATTTCGATACCGTTGGGTCCGTCTCATCGAGTCTGTCAGTTTGACTGCAAGTTTGTTGAAATCAAAGTTCTAGACGAGTTTTAATTAAAATTTGAACATTTTTTTTTTTGTTAAAAAAGTGCCCTCGAGATTCATGCTAACCGATAAATTTGTTGATGATGTATCAATACCAACGTGTTCTCCAATTACAAATGATATTCTACATAATATGACTCATGCCAATGAAAGAGTTTTTATGTTTCATTCTGTAATTTCTCTTCACAATTTTAAAAATAAGAGAAAGTTGCGTCTTCTATGAGCTATTTTATGATTGCAATATTTTTTATTAATATTATAGTAATATACTTTTTTCTGCTGGCATTGGCATTCATTTCATCACATATTTATCATTAGTTTTCTTTTAACCAGTTGATGTTCATTTTTAGTTATTTTTTAATTAATGCTTAATTAATTGCGCGAGTGCCATCGATGCGGCCCATATTATTCGACGACTATAACATTTCATCTGCTCAGTCTCTTTAATCCCTTGTTAAACAATTACTTTGTCATGAGCCTCTGATTCAGTATTAAAATAGTGGTCAACTTTAATCCCCTTCACAATCATCGTATGAACGTGTTAATTTATACAATAATATGTTTATTTTATGTTAGTTTGATGATAACTTTTCATATTAAAACAAGATAACACAGCGTAATGTTATCAAACTTATGTTACACTTCCCATTAAGAAATTTTAGTAGGCCAGCATGACAGTTTCCATGCTTTCATCCTATTGACTAACGTGTGCTTATAAAATAACCAAAAAGATGGGATGTCACATGAAATTAATTGACCTAGAACTCAACATGGAACATTGTTTGTATTGGTAAAAACAAAAAAAATAAAAATAAAAAGAAAAATAAAAAAAAAAAAAGGAAGGAAGGAAGAAAGAAAGCAAGAAAGAATGATTGATTCCAAACTCGAAAAAGAAAATGACTGGTGAGGAATAGATGTTGGCCCGACAATTGGATATTTTCTCTCACACTGAAATGTCTTATGATCGAAGTTCGCCGACCTAAAAAAAATGACAGGTTTTATTTGGAAGAGCACATTGATAAAATGCATTTCCTCTCCGGCTCTCAATTTTTTTATGATTTAGAAACAGATTGATTTTTCATAGGCTGATTTTAAAAGCCTAAATTTTTAAAAAGTGTAATATATTTTTTTCCATAAATATCGTACCCAAGACAGAGAACATAGGGACCGAGGGAGAAGAAAAGAGCGAGAGAGTGAGAGAAAGGAGTGCCATAGCAATTACTCCTAGCAGGGCAAAATTGGGGGTGTTCCCCGGGCTCTTGGACTCTTATATACCGTAAGAAATTATTACAAGAGACGAGGAGAGGAGAGTAATATCTAAATGATTGGAAAGCCCAAATGACATCCTCCCCTCTATACATGAAAAAGATCATTTTATTTACATATCATAAAGCACATCTACAAAATTACATTATTGGCTCTGTGAGTTACAAATTATTATACTCTTGGGGGTTGTAAGTTATTATGTTAATGGGAGTTACAAGTTATTATTCTCATAAGAATTACCGGCTATTATTCTCCTGGGAGTTACGGATTATTATTGTCTTCATTGACAACTTTTTGTTGTTGGGTCCATCAGACGATGTGGCAAGCCTGTCGACTAGGCTGGGGGGCCGAATGAGGTTGTCGACCGGTCTCTGTTATCGTCGGCATTTTTCATACGTATATAAATGCCAACATACTTCTTGAAGGTGAAGATGCAATAAGAATGAGACACTTTAAATCTAAAAAAATGCAGATGCAATAATCATACTCTACTGATTCAAGTGTCTCTTAAAATTATGTTTTCTCCGGCCCGGGTACTCTCTTGAGGCTTTCTTGGGTCGATTTTTTATTTGCATTGTCGATCCGCTATCTGACCTTCGACTAATTGAGGTGACATTTGATCAGTCTTATTGGCTTCATCTGTCACTTAATTAATAGTCTTATTTTGTTCTTTTTATTTTTAAAAAAGACAAACAAAAAAATGTTTTATGACCTCACAAATATTCAAGTAGAGTGATAGTTTTATGACTTCACAAAAATGTTTTATGCCCTGGAGCTGAGTCTTTAGTTTGCTCACCCCAAAGGGGAGCCGTTGATTTGCTCACCCTGATAGGGAGTATTAGATTTGCTCGCCCCGAATTGGAGTCTTTGATTTACCCACCTCAGAGGAGAGCTTTTGATTTGTTCAGCCTGGAGGAGAGTCTTTATTTTGCTTGGCTACTTCAAATTTCTGGAGTGTCAGCTTAGATACAAATACTTGTAAATTCTTCGAGTTCCTCAAGTCTCTGTCGGACTTATGAAAATATTATTAGAAGGATTTATATGATGTATTAAGGAAAAATAAAGTAAAATATTATTGATGGGTATTTCAATCACATGAAACTTTTTGTCTCCTAGATATTTTAATCGCTAGAGTATTTTGGCCGTTTTGATATGCGATGACCGACCGCGGGCATATATCCGCCCAAAGGCAGGTGATTGGCCGTGTGCTAGAGGGTGCCCACATGTAGAGCTATCTCCGGAATCCGGACAGAAAATTTTCCCGTATTATAGCAATATTAAAGGGGATGCCTCGAAAGAATGATGTTATGAATAACATTATGAAACTTAAATATGGAGAGAGAGAGAGAGAAGCGTGGATGACCGAATCATATGAAAAAGAAACAATTATAATATAAGAAATCACTCGCACCTCATATCCCACTGAAGAATCAAATCAACCGATTCTCAGCTATTTACAAACAAATTTTAAATGCAGGGCAACGTTAATATCTAAGCTGTATTTGTAGAACCTGCAAAAGCAAAATTTACAAAATATTCCGTCCTGGTCAAGAGCAGAGATATTTTCATTATTCCTGGTTCAATTCCCGCAACTCCATTTTGATGTGGGCACGCAGTCTACATAGTGGCACCATTTGCAATGGTCATTAGCATTCACCCCTCGAAACAGCATCACCAAGCCAACAACAAACCTACAAAACCAGAAGAAACAAAGCTATGCAAAATAATGCTCGAATATCTCTCCATGTTTTAAGAATTATTCTTTTATTATTCTAGAATTTTTGTGATGGATTTGTGTATTAATGTAGTGTGATGTCAAAACATAAAAATAATAAGTGTAAAGTGGCCAGAACTTTAGATCACCTTTGCCATCTTATTTTGGGAAGTTATCAATATTCAAATCAAAACAAACATGACCAACCTTATTTTGGAAATTTGATATGGTTGTTTCATATTCCAACAACTTCAATCAATGAAATAAAACATCTTTCCATCTTAAGGATAAAATTAATAAGTTAAAAATACTCCAAGGTATATTTAATATAACTTGACTACTCTGGATTCCCATATTTTCTGTATGATGATTATAACTATCATGTAATATGTAAGAAAAGGGCATTGAAGTGCAATAAAAACCAGATTGAAGAAGTGTTCTCTTCCTACAAAAGCTTGGTGGCTATTCCTTGGCTTTTTGGTTAGGCGATTTAGACCAATACCTTTTTAGCAAGAGGTCTTTCTTTTAACTTTATTTAGCGTGGTTTCTTGCAATTATTTTAATCCTTATGTCCTTCTCAAGTATTCTCATGCTTCTCTCTAAATTTCAGCATTTCCTCTCTTATGTAGTCTTTCTCCCCAAGTTTAACAACTCAGATAAAATCTGCCATAATTCTTCTATCCGTCTTTATTTCATCTCCACACACACATTCACATTACAAACCCTAACAATTCACAATTTTTTTCCTATCACTACAAGCTTTTGAAATAATCCTTACGCCAATCATATCTCTGCATATAAACTATTATGCTTCACACAAAAGCAGCCATCCAACACATAACTAAAATCCACAATCTCTTGGTAGAGCTTAGCAATCCTAGAATCTTCAGCTTTCAAAAGCCTTTCAAATCCTAAAAATACTTCCATCAGATTCCCCAACATTATCCATACATAATAAAATTAATCACATCAAAAATCCATTCCAAACTCCAACATACACCTATATCATTTGGTATCAGAGCAATTAGTTTATAGGATTTAGGAAATCCTTATCCCCTCAACGTACTTAGATGGTCAAGCATTAAAATCATTGATTAAAATCTCCTTCTCCATTCTCCATCACAAGCAAAAATAACCACCAGTCTGATAATGTGAAGCAAAAGTGGCTCCATTTTCAAACTAGGAAAGCAAAGTAATAAATGCCAAAGTTTGCAATAACATGTTCCTACGAAGGTTTAACAAATTTCATTTAGATAAGGAAGAAAGGTTAAATAATTATCAAATATTGTTTATGGCTAGTGGGAAGGGAGGAATCTATAAAATAAAGAAGTTGTTAACATGTCAATAATCACTACTATGAGTCAGTAGAAAAAGGTTGAACCTTATAAAATAACAAATGAAGATAAGAAATATTCGGACAATAAGTAAAAAAGCAAGACTACCAAATGCTTACCCAGCTATCAGCAAAAGCAGGGCAATCACGCACAGAACATACTGGTAAACCTTGTGCTTTGATTGGACCTGACTTGCAGCAGGAAGATTGTGGCGTTCAATCCAACCAAACTGAGGCCGGAGCAAAAAAACAAATCCCAGAAGATAACCAGACAAAAAGCCTCCAATATGTGCAAAGTTGTCAACATGGGGAAGTATTCCAATGGCCAGATTGATCACAATCATGATCAACAGTGTAAATAAAGCAGCAGCCTTGAGAGGAAAAATTATATATTAAAAAAATGCAAACAATAAAGTTAAGGTAATTCAAGAGAAATACAAACACAAAGCAAAAGCTACAAATTTACCTTGTTAGTATAGATGCTCCAGTTTGTTATCAGCTCTGATAGCATTGCTCCGAGAAGCCCAAACAAAGCTCCAGAAGCACCAACAGAGATATTGTTCCTGATAAAAAGAGTTGACAAGATGCTACCTCCAAATCCAGAGAGAAGGTATATTATGCCTATCCGCACTTCAAAAAGATCAAAACATCATGTCAAAAGTAGAATAAAAACAAAATATACTAATGCTGTTTAAATTTCAGCTCCACAATATCAAGTTGAGGAAAGAGAAATATATTCATAAGTTGTCTACTAAGTGTATATGAGAACAAAAGTTTGCTCTTATAGATATCAAGAAATAATATAATTCAGTTAAAATTACACAGAAATAAAGCTTACCAAAACCAAATTGCTGCTCAAGGCGAATCCCAATAAAAACCAGACTTAACATATTGGCCAACAAGTGGATAACACCAGCATGCAACCAAATGCATGTAATAAGCCTCCATCCTTGATGTTGATGAACAATTTTGTTCCATACAAGAGCTCCCAACTTCTCCAATCTTAAAACAGAGATTAAACAGTTCAGCCAAAATAACTCCTTTGAAGACATTGGATAATTAATTGTTTTCTAGCCAAACACACTGACTAACCTACCTAACAACATGCCATTCAAAACCTAATAAAAAAAAATCATAAGCAAACTTATTGATTAAAGCTTAAAAGAGCAAAGATGAGCATTAATTAGGTTGGGCAGTTATTTATGATGTGCTAAATAATATGCTTAGAAGAAACACAGTGTACAGTGTAAATACAATGAACTCCTATCAACTTCTTTTTTTTTTTTTAAATAAATGAAGCTAACAAAACTTTCAAGAATTCCGCTAGCATGGAAGCACAGAACCAAGCATGCTTAAGCCATCATACATAAAATAAAACCTTGACACTAAAACATACGCAGTTTCCAAAATACCACTAGATAAGAAACAAATAAATCTCTAGTTATTTAGTTTGAAGAAAAAAAGCACCTTGTAAAAAGTAACTATCTAGAAATCATCATTGACTTATCTTCAAATTGAATTTTGAAGAAAAACCCGACCAAATTAATAAAACAAGCCGTAAAAGGCAACTTTTTTCTGCGTTTTAACAAAGCAGATGAACAGATAAATAAAGTAGCATTATTTTAATGAGAAATTTCCCAAGAAAATAGAGCCGCGATCACCCTCAAATGGGAAAAAAAGAAGAAGCAAATTAAATTAATAACTACACCATATTGAGATGTTTTGGTTAACCAAACGAGATAACATTTCAACAAAACATTAGAGAAGGATTTCCATCAGAAGCAAAGAGCAGTTGCCACCTTCTCTCCAATGATTTAATGAAGTTGTTACACATGAAGAAAATCTATACGCGCTTGTGTGATTCAACAGTTCAGCGATATTTGTATTAAAACTACTAGTTAAATTAAAGATCGAAAGCAATAAACCAACCTTCCAGTTGCTACATAATTTGTGCTTAGGCCAACAAACCTCAACATTGACTTTCATTAGCTGAATAACTAAAGGGGCATCGACAGCATTTAAGATCACCGGACCCAGCTAATTCTTCACAATCTCACTAAACTTTCGTTTTAGCGCATACCAATTAAGATAATGAGTCACATGAAGAAGAAGAAGAAGAAGAAGAAGAAGAAGAAACCCGTTTGCATTGAAAAACAGAAGTAATTAAAACAAAAAGGGCTCAGCTCCATTAAAACTCAACCTAAACTAAAAAAAAATTGGATGATAAATGGCGACAAAACAAAACCTTCCAAATTCCTACTCACGTCGCGGAAGAGGGCCCGAGGAGGGGATTTTCGTGCAGCGGCTGAAACGAGAGTCGATGGAGAAATTTAGCCACGCAGGATCCGTAGAAATTGGAGTGGGCGGGGCAATCGTTGACATACATGGCCACCACAAAGAATGCAACGTTGGCTGCAACGAACATCGGCACGATCCATGGCGTCCACTCCCTCTCCGCCGCCAAATCGGAATTATAGTAGAACGGAGACGGCTCTGCTGCCAACACTTCGTTCTGGCCGCCGGCTCCGCCGCCCCGCCGCTTTCCGTTTCTGTAGACACCGCCGCGCTCCATGTCCATCGCTGCAGCTTGATCGGGAAATCTGTAGGGCGGATTAGCTGGAGAGGCGGTATGCTCTGCAGAAGGGGAGTGGGGGGAGTGGGAAGTTTATTGCGTATATTTTAGGGGATTGGGCTGTGCTCGGGGAAGCTGTTCGGAAATTGCCTCGGGCAGCATGTGCTACTTTTAGAGTAATTGGAACTTTATACTTGAACCACATAATTCTTAAGTATTTATATGCTAACACCCAAAGTTTAACATTTGACATTTCACTGTCATAAATCTTTTTTGACATTTCGCTGTTATAAATCTATGTAATCTATGTAATTTAAACTAATGATATGGCTTCAAAAAAAAATTTCTATCATTCAACATGAATTTTAATGCATGACATGAGTTTAGAGATAAATTTTTAAGCAAAAAATATTTAAATTTTGATCAAAATTCATCTAAAACTTTGATTTCAGTAAACTTATAGCCAAACTGATCGGCTTGTCGAGATGGCCCCAACGGTTTCAAAATCGATCCAATACGTGTCAAATCAAGCCATTAAATTACTTTTGAAAGTTTTTAGAATATTTTTTGAAGGTCAAACGGATTTTGAATTTAGCAAATTCATAGTTGAATTGAGCGTCTCGATAAGATGAATCCAACGAGCGCATAATCTCTTAATTCCGACATCATTAATATACTCAAAAGTTCATCAAATGTCATCCCATTAAGAGATTCTCTTTGGGTCGTCCGATCAGATTGGTTTGGATTCATTCTTTAAATGTAGTGAGCCTCTATAAATAGTCATATCCCCTTATAAGAGGGGGCTAGAGCTTGAAACCTGAAGAAGATCGAAGTTTGGAGAAGAAGCTGAAGTCTAGTATCACTTTTGCACTGACAATCCGACGAATGCCTCTGGTGGCCACCGCCACCTTCGCCTACCGTTGCTACTGGTCGTTGTCGCTTACGCTGGCCCCTGCCTTAGGCTATTGTTGGTTCAGGTTACCGTTGCTTTTGTCCGCCGCTGCATTCGTCCAACTTTGGCCGTCGCCGCCTCTATCTAACTTTGGTCGTCGCTGCCTGCAAGAAACTCTAGTCATTGCCACCTGCATCCAACTATAGTCCCCGTCGCCTTCGTTCAACTTTGGTTGCTGTTGTAGATTGTGGGCTCCGCTACTGCCTCCAGTCGTTGCGACTCGGACGGCTTTCTTCGCAGTCTCTTCCGACCTCCGCCACCGCCACTTCTGGCCACCGTCTCGTGCCGCATTTGTTGTCGCTGCCTTGAGCTACATTCCCTGCCACCTCTTCTAGTCGTAGTCACTGCCACTTCTGGCCGCTATGTCTTACCGCATTTGACACTGCTGCCTTGGGCTGCATTCACCGCAACAAATTTCCTTCGTCTTCACCTCCGTCACCACCGCCCGCTCCCTACTATAGGGTAATAAGTTCTTGTACGCACAAATGTTTTTAACCTGAGAAACTATGTAACCCCTTCTTGCCTATGGGACATGAGGTTTTCGTGCAATCACTAACTCATAGTGAAATATTCAACTAAGCTAGACCCCGTGATTTTTTCCCTTTTCGGGTTTTCCACGTAAAAAACTTCTATTATTTCTACCCATCATTTTATATTACATGAGTGTACACCGCTAAGACATTAATTAACGACTGTAAAGCCGCAAATTCTTTTGCACGCATCAAGTATATTTCAGTGTTAAAATGATAATTATGAGTTTTTACTTATGTGATGTTAAAGCATAGAGTGGTATGCATGTAGATATTAATATTTAGATATTTGATTTTTCACAAATTATTCTTTTCAATGTTCGAAGAAATATTATATGCAGGCACATTAGGTGCGAATTTGAAGGTATTATAATGATATTCACCCTAATACTACCATAATTTCATCAATCCTCACATATATTATTCGCACATAATATTTCTTCCCAATATAAACCTCTTCATGTTCACATATATTCCTTATGTCTCACTGTGCTTTCTTCTTCGCTTGATATTCATTAATCAAGCCATCGCGCTTAACTAAATACCTCAATTTTTTTGCTATAAAAATATTTGTGGATAAGAAAGTCTCATTTTTAAGGAAATATTTTTTGTTTGGACTCCGTATGTAGCTCTCTGTGCTGACTTCAGTAATATACCACTATGTGTGCTACATCACAGAGGTTATTGAAGGATTATTGAAGTGAAACCACATAGATTATTAGGGGGTTATTGCGGGGGTTAATGCGGGAGGTTATTGAACTGGATCTGCGAAGGTTATTGGATGGGTTATTGGGGGTTATTGCAGAGAGTTATTAAAGTGAAACCACATAGATTATTAGGAGGTTATTTGGGAGTCATTGCAGGGGTTATTGGAGTGGAACCGTCGAGATTATTGAGGGGGTTATTGTGACGTTATTGCGACATTATTGGAGTTAATACCTCAATAACCCCCCAATAACCTCGTAATAACCCTCCAAATAACATCTGCAGTTCCACTCCAATAACCTCTGCGGTTCCACTTTAATATTTTTTTAGGTGGGTCCGATATAACACATATGATGATATAGTACTAGAGTCCGCACGTAGAGCTACATCTGGAGCCTGGACAAAAAATTTTTCCCATTTTAGAGAGATGAAGTAGTTGAGAGAAAAAAAAAACTTTAAAATGGGGACAAATAAAATTTTCAAAAATTTTGACAATATTTTTCATGGACTAGCATTTGCCAAATTTAACTGAAATATTTGGTAGCAAATTCCAAACAACATTTCCCAAATGTATGGGGGTTATTGCAGAGAGTTATTGAAGTGGAACCAATGAGATTATTGAGAGGTTATTAGGGAGTCATTGCAGGGGGTTATTGGAGTGGAACCGTTGAGTTTATTGGGGGGTTATTGAGGGGTTATTGCGGTGTTATCGGAATTAATACCCCAATAACCCCCTAATAACCTCTCAATAACCCTCCAAATAACATCTACAGTTCCGCTCCAATAATCTCTACGGTTCCACTTTAATATTTTCTTTGGTGAGTCCAATATAACACATGACGGTATATTACTGGAGTCCGCACGTAGAGCTACATTTGGAGTGCAAACAAAAAATTTTTCCCATTTTTAGAGAGATGTAGTTGAGAGAAAAAAAAAACTTTAAAATGGGGACAAAAACGTTATAAAAAATTTTGCCAATATTTTTCGCCAAGACTTGGGACCAGCATTTGTCAAATTTAACTGAAATATTTGATAGCAAATTCCAAACAACATTTCCCAAATTTATTTGGGTTTTGGATTAGTTCAAAACTAAACTACACCACAAAATAATGAGATCGTGCCAATTCAAGAAAATCAAAACAAAAATAAATAGATAACACAATCAAATCAACCAAAAAAACACATAAGAATTTTACGTGGAAAAAACCCGAGAACGGGAAAAAACCACATAGCACATTATCATAAATTTCACAATGAAATTCAGAAGATTTACAAAGAACTCACACAAGTTCCTACGATAAAATTCTACACACAGAAACTTACAGAACTCACTACACAATCTTCCCTCTCTGATCTGATGCAAGAATCATGCTAAATGACTGAAATCCACCTCTTTGACATTTCCCACATTCACCGTGATGCTTGTCGAAGAATGCAAGAGGAAGATACCTATCAGCCACTAAAAAATGGGACTTAAAACTGAAATCCTATGCAAAACTGCTTTTGATGCATATATGCTAGTAGGCTAGCGCATAAGCACTAGCCTCTCTGCACAATAACTCCGCCAAGGTTGGCGCTTAAGCACCCAAAGAGAGGGTGCATATCTGAAAAAATATTACCTCAGGAGTACTGATGCATCAGTATTCCAATGGGGAGGTGCTACGTGACATTATGATGGGACCATTGTATACGTGGCACCTCCTCATTGAAGTACTGATGCATCAGTACTCCTGAGATAATATTTTTTCGTGCATATTCACTCCCGTCTCTCCCCTGCCCACATCAAATTTTCTCATATCTGTTGGCGCACATATGCCAACTACCTATCACATATACACTGGGTGTAGTAGGTGCTTTGGCTCCATACACTCCACACAACCCAACAACATTCAAAGTGCTTTTGTAAGCTAAAATTACCATCATGACTTTATTTGATCTACTCACTTTAAATTAAGAAACTCATCACTGAGACTTCAAGGTGTTTCTTCTTATGGCCAGGCTTTTTTTTCATCAACACATGATTCTTACTTTTTTTACATATCTAACCACTAAACTTTCATATTCTAATGCATGTCATTCTAATCTTTAAAATCACATCAAAATCACTACACCAATTATTATAAAATAAAATACATATTTATATATATAAATTTATAAATACCCTTTTTTATGTGTTCAAGGAACTTGGTAAAAAAAAATTATGAAATTTGTTTATATACTTAAGAATATGTTATGAACATATTCAATAGTTGTACCCGATTTCTATCGATGAATGCAAGAGTATGGCCGTGTGTAATAGCGATATGGACTTCTAACAATTCTCAAGCTCAAACTTATTTCTGCAAATGAATCGAGCGGCTCGACATGTTACTTATGGCTCAGCTCCATTAATGCTCGTTCATAATCTCTTAATTATGTAATTGAACAAATTTTGAATACTATTTTAAATACTCGATTATTAACTGAACAAGCATGATCATATTATTACTCGACTCATTTATAATTGCGAACAAAATCATTTAGAGCTCATGAATAGCCTCGTTAAGGTACTTGATTAAAGTTCAATATTGACTCATGTACTTAATTAATGCTCGTTTAAGTACTCGATTAATATTACATTTTCACCATTTTAAAATATTAAAAAAACCAAATAAAAATAAGAAGATTTACATACATACCACTCAAATCTAATGTTTTTATACTATCTAATGCCTAAACTTTAATTTTTAAGTACATGCAATCATATCCATGGATGAAAAGATTTATTTCATTTTTTAAAAATTAAATCAGTGACATTTTTAATAAGCTATAAATTATTTGGGCAGTAAAAATGTAAAACCTAAAATTTAGGTGTTAGATATATAAATATATAAGAAATGGTTGGCATGTATGCAAATGGCCTAACAAAAATTATAAGGAAACTAACAAAAAAATTTGTTCAGATTTTCTCTTGTTTTTAGGCCCACATCAATGGAGCAAATAGG